GGTGCTTTTTCACTCTTCTCTCTCTCTTTTGCTGGTAAGTGCATGTCCCCTGTAGCAAACAAACATACACCCCCCCCCCACACACACACACACTCACAGGGGCTTTCCCTATTAATGGACCCCTCCTCAGGTATTTAGTTTTGTTGTGTTTGCTGCTTTTGAACCCCAAAATAACCTGAAGTTTGGGTTGAATATGTAATATATGGTAACTGTACAAGTATAATCAGTAAGTTGTACCAGAAAAAGCATGTGTTTATTGCCATGTGGTTTCACAAAGACTGTTGATTTATCTACAAATCTACCAGTTTTGAGAAAAGCAGGCTGCAGTGACAATGAGTGAAAAGAAAAAAACATTAAATGCCGGTGAGTCCTCACACCCTATAGCAAAAATCAAAAATTGGTATAAGTAAAATGGGAATTATGTTCAGATACACTAGCTCTGAATTGTTTTTTCCCTACTTAGGTACACTAGGCTGGCTAGTTGAATTTATCTCTAATGTGAAATTAGCCTCTAAAGGTTTTTAAACTAGGTAGAACGTTTTTGATGAAGAGATTAGCTGATTTGTGCCATCTCCTCTTTTGACTCCAATTTAATCCCAAAGAGATTTAGCTTAACCTCTTTACCTCCACCCTCTAGTGTATTAACTCTAACCTTTTTTCACTTCCTTCTCTATTTAGTTTGGTTTGTGTCCTTAGCAAGCAGCAGAAGCCAACTTTCACTAGTTCAAGCAGAAATGGTATTTATTAAGGGTCATTGCGTACCTCACATAATCCTTAGGAGGGTCAAAGAAAGAGGCAGTCAGTAAATAACAAGGTTCAGAATCACACCTGGATGTCACGGCTGTTACTGTGTGTAGCCCACTGCAGTGTATGTGGTGTGATTTCTGATGCTGCATACAAGATCCTACCATCTCAATTCTCCATTTGCTGCCTTAGTGGTAACTACTGATTTTCTTTCCAGAAAGGATCCTTCTTTCTTAGGTTCTGATGCACAGGTTTGACTGAGCCTAGGTCACATGTTTAGTTGCAAGAAAGTTAGGAAATAAGACTTTGCTTCTACTGAGACATGTAGAGCCACAGAGAAAGGTGGGTGTATGGAGAGAAATGGTCAAAATGCTCTTAATGCTTCCAGGTAGTCCTTTGTGTGACCATAGATACCTTTTTCCTTTTTCTATAACAGTTAGTTCAAATTTTCATTCTTTTGAAGCTCCCAACTCCAACAGTATACTAAGGGGGGGGGGAAGGGAACAGGAATAAAAGGAATGAATGAATAAGTGGGAGAGTTGTCCATTAGTAGTCATAAACCAGTGGATAAAATGACACATAAAGGGGCCAACCAGTGGTGTGTGGCTAAGGCAGCTGGATTCCACATGGCCGACTGCGTGGTTCAAGAGCCAGAGCCTGTGGTTTGAAAAATACACTTGGTACATGTGCATGCATGCGTGTCTAAAACCCTGAAAGGAAGAAGTGGAGAAGAGATTGTGACAAGGCCATCCTCTATCAGAGTGCATTCTTACTTTCCCTCTTAGACTTTCTGTGGTGAGTGCACACACCCTTTGATGAAAAAACAAAAGGGCCTTAAAACGAATTACCAGCTTCAAACAGTGGGTTGAAATTTTAAGAAAGAAAACCCCCACTGCAATGATACTAGATCATTTCTAGTATAAAAGCTGCATTTTTATTAAAAGTACAAGTTCCACTGGTTTTTGCTAAAATCATTACTCATGATTTTATTGTTCATCACAAGCTTTTATTTTTTTAATTCTGTAATTTTCATTTAGGATAAATACAGAAGGTCATCTATCCTATTTACCAAGAATCTTACATATGCATTGAGTTTATACTGTCTTAAGGACCATGGCACAGTGCAGCCCCAATGAAGCATTACTAAGCTACGTCCTCTCTTTTCACTCAGGATTCTGAGGCATCTGTGTCAAATCATCCATGATAGAAGTCTTACTTTTTACTTTTTGAGATGGTGCTGAAGAATATTTAGGCAATGAAATATTAACAGCTTTTTATCAAATCAGGGACAAGAGAAAATAAAGAAGCTTGGCTGCCATGAGTCTACTAATTACCTTAGTTAGTATTCAGAGTATATGATATATATTTTTTTTTTTTTTGAGAGGTTTTTGCTATAAGACGCATGTGCACACTGGAAAGACAGAGAGAGACAGAAAGCGAGAAATCACCCCCCGGGGGGATGGCCATGCCGCAATCCCTTCTCCTCTGTTCTCCTCTCAGGATCTTTGGCATACATGTGCCTGGCGTGAGTTTAAGCCACCAGGTCCGGGACTTGAACCGCGGTCGACTACATGGGAGTTCAGCAACATAGCTATAGCCATTACACTAACTGCTGGTCCCCAGAGTATAGTTTTTACCAAGAATTTCATGAGCGTTTTAGGAAGGAATAATTGGCACCAGCTTTAACTATGATGGTATTATTTGAAAATCATTCAAAAAACAGAAGAATGGTGGCAATTTGAAGACTTTGATTTAATGTTCTTTTGAGAAAAATGCTAAAAATGACTTTAGAAATAAAAATATAGTAGGCTTCTAATCAGAAACTATTGTTTGGGACCAGCAGTTAGTGTAATGGCTATGTCACTGGACTCCCATGTAGTCGACTGCGGTTCATGTCCTGGACCCGGTGGCTTAAAACTCATGCCGGGCATGTGTGCGTGCGTGCCCAAGATCCCGAGAGGAGAATGGAGGAGAAGGGATTGCAGCGTGACCATCCCCCCTGGGGGGTGATTTCTCGCTTTCTGTCTCTCTGTCTGTCTCTGTTTGGCTAGTGCACACGCCCTATAGCAGCGAGTGCACACGCCCTATAGCAAAAAACCCAAAAAAAAAAAAAAAAAAAGAAAGAAAGAAAGAAATTACTGTTTACTATGTAGGAGTCTAACTCACACTGCCTGTATTTTTTCTTAAGACCTTGACATACCATTCTTAAAATGCATAACCTAAAGGCCAGCTGGTGGTGCAGTGGTTAAGGCGCTGGACTCCCACGTGGCCGACTGTGGTTTGAGTCCTACACCTGGTGGCTTGATTATCACATTGGCATGTATGCATGCATGCCTAAAATCCTGAGAGGAGAACGGAAGAGAAGGGATTGTGACATGACCATCCTTCTGTGGGATGATTGCTTTCTTTCCCTCTATCTGTGTCTCTCTGGTGAGTATATGTACCTTCTGACAAAAACCTAAAATAAAATAAAAACAGGTAGAAAAAGACTAGTTTTTATATATACTTTATACTCATAATAAAATAAACTCCCAGTAGGTGAATGCCAAGGCGCCCTGATGTTTGACTGTTCCTTTTGAGTCCGTTCATACCATGATGCCACGTACAAAACAAGCAACTAATAAGCATTTGTTAGTAATTCCTATTTCAGAGTCACAAGAACATTTCAGAGCATATTGGTTTCATACAATATCAAAGATGGGCAAAATGTAATAGATAACTTGAGGTCAAAATAGTATATACTGGTCTGGCTCCATAGTGCAATCAATAGTATGCCACTCACGAGAAGCCAGATTGCACTTGATGGCTGTAGTTTGAGTCCCTGGCCTGGTCAGCCTGAGACACATGGTGGACACATGTAGCCTCCCAATGTTTGCTGGGCTGGAAGATGGATATCATAGTGTGATTAGACCCTGTGGAAGGTGCACTCCCCATGCATGTGAACTTCATAAATTGAAAGAAAAGAAAACAATACATACCTATTAATTTTTTTTTCTGTATTCATAATAGATCATGAGAAAGAGATGAGTATCCTCCACAGGGTCCGGTTATGCCAGAGTACTTTCTTCAGACCTTGCGATCTTGGCTACTCTCACACGTGTGCAGCATGTTTCAGGCAGACCAAGCTGGGAATGTGTAACTGGTCACCATGTGGGATCTGGCTTCTCTTGAGCAGCATGTTACTGCTGAGCCAGGGAAATGGTGCTATACCAGTCTTTTAATCAATGCAAAATTTAAACTTTATTTTTATTTATTTATTTAGTTTTTTTTTTTAAGAATTATTTTATGTAACTTTATTTATTTATTTATATTTGATCAGAGAGGGAGGTGGGGAAGGGAGGGAAAGTGAGAGAATAAGCCGCCAGGTCTGGGACTTAAACCGTGATTGGCTATGTGGGAGTCCAGTTCCCTTAACCACCATGGCACTTGCTGGCCCCTATTTATTTATTTTTTTTTAAGAGAGATTTTTGCTATAGGGTGCATCTGCTTGCTAGAGAGATAGAAAGCAAAAAATCACCCCCCAGGGGGATGGCCACACCCCAGTCCCTTCTTTATTATTTTTTTGGAGAGGTTGCTATAGGGCACGTGCGCTTGCCAGAGAGAGAGAGACATAGAGACAGAAAGTGAGAAATCACCCCCAGGGGGGATGGTCACGCCGCAATCCCTTCTCCTCCATTCTCCTCTCAGGATCTTGGGCACCTATGCACACGCACCCAGCGTGAGTTTTAAGCCACCGGGTCCGGGATGTGAACCGCGGTCAACTACGTGGGAGTCCAGCAACATAGCCATTACGCTAACTGCTGGTTCCCCCCAGTCCCTTCTCATTCATTCTCCTCTCAGGATTTTGGGCACATTATGCACATGCACCAGGCGTGAGGTTTTAAGCCATTGGGTCCGAGACTCGAACTATGGTTGACTATTTGGGAGTCCAACGATGTAACCATTAGGCCATCTGCTGGTCCCAAACTTTGTTGATTCAAATAAGACTGTACTTTTCCCTTTTTTTTTTTTGAATTATTTATTTAACTTTATTTATTATTTATTCATTTGTTTATTTAAATTTGACCAGAGAGGGACAGAGAGAGAGAAAAGTGAGAAAGTGAGAAAGCAAGCCACCAGGTCCAGGACTCGAATCACGGTCGCCCATGTGGGAATCCAGCGCCTTTAACCACCATGCCACCTGCCAGCCCCAAGACTGTACTTTTTAATTTGCCAGTCTCAAAACTAGGAAAGGATAGGCTTATTACCCTCTGGCATGTGCAAGGTAACTAGATTCCCAACTGTCAACTGTGGTTTGAATTCTGGTTCTGGTGGCTTAGGAAACATGCTGGGCATGTGTGCATAGGTGTCTGAGGTCCCAACAGGAAAATGGAGAAGGAGATTTTGATATGACTATGACCCCATTTGAGATGCTTTCTTTCTCTCTGTCTCTGTGTTAGTCTCTGCTGAGCACACAATCCCGCTGGCAATTTAAAAAAATATTATGGAACAAGAGTGACGTAGTGACTTAATTTCATCTTTTAAAAAGATTATTTTACTTAACTTTTTTTATTTACTTATTTTAATTTGACCAGAGAGGGACAGAGCAAGAGAGAGAGAGAGTGGGAAAGTGAGAAAGCAAGCCGCCAGGTCTAGGACTCAAACCATGGTTAGTCCAGCACCAGCAAGCCACCAGGTCCAGGACTCGAATCACGGTCGACCATGTGGGAATCCAGCGCCTTTAACCACCATGCCACCTGCCAGCCCCAAGACTGTACTTTTTAATTTGCCAGTCTCAAAACTAGGAAAGGATAGGCTTATTACCCTCTGGCATGTGCAAGGTAACTAGATTCCCAACTGTCAACTGTGGTTTGAATTCTGGTTCTGGTGGCTTAGGAAACATGCTGGGCATGTGTGCATAGGTGTCTGAGGTCCCAACAGGAAAATGGAGAAGGAGATTTTGATATGACTATGACCCCATTTGAGATGCTTTCTTTCTCTCTGTCTCTGTGTTAGTCTCTGCTGAGCACACAATCCCGCTGGCAATTTAAAAAAATATTATGGAACAAGAGTGACGTAGTGACTTAATTTCATCTTTTAAAAAGATTATTTTACTTAACTTTTTTTATTTACTTATTTTAATTTGACCAGAGAGGGACAGAGCAAGAGAGAGAGAGAGTGGGAAAGTGAGAAAGCAAGCCGCCAGGTCTAGGACTCAAACCATGGTTAGTCCAGCACCCTTAACCACCACACTACTTGCTGGCCCCTAATTTTATCATTTTCATGAAGCACTTTTTCATAGCCTTTCGTAACTCCTGTGTTATGTCCTGTCCCTGCCAAACATAGGACATTTACTGCTTATGTAGGTAATTGTCTTTATGTATACTATCCAGATTAAGAAACAGGCATTGAGGCCAGGCTGAGTAGAGTCCAACATCCTGAATTTGAATCTTGTCTCTGCCATTTGGTAGTTTTGGTTATGCATATTGTAATTACTCTTAGTTCCTTGTTTGTAAAATGAATATATGGATTCAATGAGTTAATGCATGTGGAACACTTAGGTCAGAATTTCACATGGTTAGTTTTTATTGCTAGTGGAGCTTTTATTGATTCTTTGAATAACTGGGAGTAGTGCTTGATACTTACATGTAGTCCCTGCTGTTGTAGAGCTTTCCCACTGGGGAGGGGGTGAGAGCAAAGTGGTTCTGAACACAGACCGTCATACCACCTGATGAGTCTAGTGGAGCAAAAGACTTGAGCAGTAGATGAGGAAATCAAAGAATTCGACCTAGTATTTCTTCTTGCAGGGACAGTTTGTTAGTAGGATTTTCTGATTTTGGAATAATCTTAAGTGCTATTCCTGGGATGCAAGTTTTCAGCCAACACAGCAGGTATGGTAATCCTCATCAGCTCTGTGTGCGAAGCATGTGGGCACTTATTTACTTAACAGGCATTTATTTGCACTTAGCACCACTTGCTAGCTGGAGTTCTCATCCTTAAATAGTTGTGGGACTAAGACGTAACCCAGCAGCTATTGTACTAGTTATAGTAAGTAGGGTGGTGGTAATGAACAGGAACCTGAAAGCTCAGGGGAGTGACTTCCAGACTAATTCACACCTGAGAAACAACCCGGTCATCTATTGCATGTGTTTAGCCTTTAAGAAGTCCCTGTGGCTACCGGGTCTCCTTGCTTCTCACTGAATGTCACAGAACAGTTGCTCTTATCTTGGATTGAGGGGGAAAATTAGGCTTGGCTGATTTCTTTTTAAAAAAGTTTGGTATAGGAAATATTCTCACTGAAGAGAGATGGGGGGAGAGTGAGAAAGCACACCCTTGCATGCCCCGGAGGATGGCCACAT